CCAATATGGTTCCAAACATAATGGCACCTGACTTTCCTTTGGATTAAATCAACAAGGCCAAGAGGGGGACACTGATGTGTGGGTAACCCAGTATCTCCATATACACTGCCCAGGCCTTTGTGCTCTTGAAAGGATATTCCAGCTTCACTTTCTTTTAACTGGGGATTTAACATGGGAGACAGAAGTTACGTATTATAAGTCCAGCTGGTATAGCAGAAACAGGGATGGTACAGATTGCTTCTGCCAGTGATGGATATTATTGTATCACTATGATCAAACCCCCCAACATCCCCTCCCCCAGATAAAGTGGGCAGCCCTTAGCCAGTAAATGCTGATCTGCCTTGGTTTGCCTGCTTCAATGGGTGTTTAGAACTAAAAGCAAATTAAAAAAGCAGATTACATCACTTCACCAGAAAAAGGAAAAAGAGAAAATCAATACTTCACATTTCAACATGGAATGTCAGGAACGTGTGTATTTTCCTGGCTGAAGATCTTGTGAATATCTCTGACGCTCAGAAAACTGCAGAGATACATATGTAATTAAATGGGTTGAACACTGACATTGCAATGATGCAAGAAACATGCCTGGCCTTGGTTGGCTCCTTAGGAGAAAAATACTACACTGGCAAGGGGAAGTTCCCAAAGATGCATGCAAGCATGGTGTAGGCTTTGCTGTTAGAAATAATCTTCTAAAATGATCAAGAATCCATTAAATGTTTCTGAGAGGATCATCATTCTTTGCTTTTATACTTCAGAAGGCACAAACACCTTAGTGAGCACTTATGCTCCAACACCTTATTCTTCTGCTAAGGTTAAAGACAAGTTTTACAAAGAATTGGCTAGTGTCATTGGTAAGATTCCAAACACTGAGCATTTATATCTAGTGACAGACTTTACTAGCAGAGCTGGTGCTGATAGTGAATTCTGGCCAATCTGCCTGGGAAGTATGAATAATAATGGACAAAGGCTGCTGTCATTCTGCTGCTACCATAACTTGTGCATCACCAACTTATTCTTTCAAATGAAGCCATTCCATCAGGCATCATTGGGCTGCCTAGTAATGATAAGGTCCAACTGGTGCCAATGGCTGGACCCAAGATTCAGCCACTAGTACCAGTTGACCCCTTTACTTGCTAGGCAGTCCAATCTCACAGTCCAATCTCAGTAATGGTCTCCTTACCCATAGCTACTATAGTGCAGATTGCAACACTGCTGTCTTGCTTATGGTTACTACAACATGAAACCAAATAAAATCTTCTTTAAGTATGAGTGTTTGCCACACATTAATTTCACCAATATATCTGATTATAAGAAGATCTTGCAGTTTATGGAGGCTCTGGAGGAGGCTCCTTCAGAGCTGATTTTGTGCAAAACTACAGAAGAGAAGTGGGGAAGTCACCAAAAAAAAAATCAATGTCACTGTTGATTCTTGGAAAACACTGGGATTAGTTTGAGATACACTCACATGAATGGATTCCATTTAGCAAGGTCAAAAAACCTGCTATAGTAAATAACATGAAGAATGCTTCAGATGGAACTTTGAAGGAAGTATTGTCTAACAAATCTCAAGACACTACATGAGTGCTTATTGGCTATGACCTGTGCAAGAAAATTCAATTCATATTTGATTCTGAAAACATAAGAGGCATGCATAGTGGAATCAAGAATGTGATGGATCCAAATCCAAAGAAGACATTGCCATTAAAACAATATCAGGAGAAGGTATAAGAAATCAAAAACAACAGATGGAAAGATGGGTAGAACACTATTTTATACTCTATTCAAAGCAAAGTTATTTCATTGTCAACCTTTAACTCTCTTTAAAGTTTTTCTGTCCTTGAATAACTTGTTGATATTCTAACTGTTGAGAACCTAAATAAAGCCATAAACAATCTGGTCAGTGGCAAGGTCCTAGGAAAAGACAGCATTATCATTTAAGTAATCAAGTATGGGAAACCTGTGCTTCTTACACAGGTATACGAGTTCTTACTCACTGCTGGACAGTATGAGAGTGCCACAAGACATGCAAAGTGGCAATATAGTCACACTGTACAAGAATAAAGGTGATTTCAGGAACTTCAACAATTATTATGACATTTCACTATTAAGCATTGTTGGCAAGATTATCATTCAAATGTTTTTTGGAAGACTTCAGATACTTACTGACCATGTTCCCCCTGAGTCACAGTGTGGCTTTAGAGCTAATAGGTCTACCCTAAGTATGATAGTTTCATTTGGACAAATTCAAGAAAAATGTAGGGAACAAAGGTGACCCTCAATATCCCCTTCACTGACTTGACCAAAGCTAAAAGAAAAGGCCTTTTCAGTGTATTGGAAAAAAATTAACTGTCCACCAGAACTCTTTAATCTAATCTGCTTTTTCTATGATTGAATGCATGGAGCAATCAATGATGACAGAGATTCAAAGAAGAGTCAAGCAGGGCTGTGCCTTGGCTTTGACCCTGTCTGGGATTTTCTTAACTCTTCTTCTGACATAAGCTTTTGGGACCACCGCAAATGGAATTTAGCTACATACATGCTCAAATGGAACATTATTCAACTTCACTTGCCTTAAAGCAAAGATTTGATTCACGAGCTGCTGTTTGCTGATGATGCTACATTGGTGACCCACACAGATACCGACCTTCAAAATCTCATCAGTTAGTTTGCTCAAGCCTGCCAAGAGGCTTGTCTTATAATCAAAATGAAGACAACTAACAGCATAGGACAGAACATTGATTCATCACCAGCTATAACAATAGTTAGATATGCAATGGATATCATAAGTAAATTTATGTACCTTGCCTCCATTGTTATCAACAACTTGTCTCTTGAGGTTGAACTGAATAGCCATATTGACAAAACATCAGATATCATGAACATGCTGAGCATATGTGTAGAATAACAACATACTGACTGTTAAGATGAAAGTCAAAGTTTATCATATTTGTGTCATCACTCTTTCATGGCAGCAAATCCTGGACCACATTCTCTACTCAAGAAAAGTGCCTCAACAGCTTTCACTTTCATTACTTTCATCACATTTTAGGAATTTCCTGATAGGACTCAGTTGCTTATGTTGAGGTCTTGGAATATGCCACTATTCTGCATATCATTCTCTTTTCAGTCAGCATTGACTTCAGTGGCTTGGTAATATGTGGAGAGTGGATGATGGCCATATATGCTAGGATCTCTTGTATGGAGAACTCTTTACAGGAAGAAGACCCTACAGGTGTCTTTATCTTTGTTTCAAAAATGTTTGCAAGAGACATCTGAAAGCAATGAACTTCCAGCCAAATGACTGGGAGAAGATTGTTGAGGATCAAAGCACTTGGAATCAGTCTATTAAGTGTGAAATGAAAACTTTCGAGGAAAGAAGAGTCCAACTTGTAACAGAATGAAGAAATTTCAGGAACAATACCATACCGCATTCAGGAACGTTACATATGAATTTCACCTGTGATAAACTGAGGAAAGAAACATCACTCAAGAATTGGGCTCTACAGCCACACCCACAGATGTTTAATGAGCTGATACTTCACTTGGCACAAATATATTGTTTCACAAGAAGGCATGCTTTAATAGCACTTAGGTATCTTAGATATTCATTTTAGCAGATGTTGAAAAGCTTTAGGCACTTTTGAAATGGTTTAGCCACTACCTTTCTGCAGCTGTAGGCCCTTAAATACCTTTAAGTCAGGTCCCTAGTGTTTTAGTATGTCTGTCTGGTGTTTGGTCTGCTACTACAGTGGCTTTTTTTTGACATAGTTAAAATTTTGACTGCTTTAGCTAGGAAGCAATCTGTCACTTTAATTCTTTTCTGTCCAAACTTTCTGGAAATGAAAAAAGCAGCAGCGTAGGAGGAACTTGAAATGACTGGAGGGTGTCTCTTTGATTCAGACATTCCCCTGTGCCTTTTAGTGATCAGCAGCTCTCCATTTCTCTATTACTGATTGTACTATGTGAAGAGCAAAATAGCCCTTATATTGTAATTTAAGAAAGAAGGAAAAATTAAGAATGTCTGCATGATTCAGAAACTCAAATCCTATTGTCAAAAGAGCTATTAGGTCCCACTGATATTTAATGAGAGAGTGTTTCCTCAGTGTAGGTCACTTCTTAAAAGGGGATTTAGGTGCATAATTCAAATATGTGCTCTGGACATTTTTTTGGATGAACTATATAATACAGTTTCTCTGCTTTTTTTGAGGGGATGCTGAATTCATGGCAGTCCTTTAAGGATTATATCTGTCTATATATCTGACTATAATTGTCTGGTTGAAGACTCAGGAAATGGTTCAAATTCTGTCTCTGTTATGCCTCTGACTTGGCCATATAATAATCATATGATCTCCACTATGCCTAAATTCCTAATCTTTAAAATAAGAGAAACAGTAATCAACCTTGAATGGGTACTTCAAAGCTAATGACTGGGTGCATCTACATGTGCAATTAGTGTGGCTGAATAAACTCTGGTGCAGTTTGTGCCAGAGTTTATTGCTTCTGTGCACAGAATTTACATGTACACCTGGGACTGCAGCATGTTAAACTGAGGTGGTGCAATCTGGCGAGTCAGCCTGTGAGCCCAGAGCTGCTTCACCTTGGCTCAACATGCTGGGAAGAGGCTGACTGAGGCATGAGGCTGTGATAGTGAATGGCTAGCCAGCAAACAACCCCACATTATATCATCCTCGTGTCCCAGCCAGCTCGGTCACCATCTACATATACATTGCTACAGAGTAAGTAAGTCCACAGTAGGATAGTACTTATGTCAGGCAGTACTATTCCATGGCAGAGTTAATAAGTTTACTCTGGCCTAATAGTGCCATATGAGTAGATCTTAAGCATTATAGGTGCCTATACATGAGCACTGAGGCTGCTCTGACGTGCTGTAATTTCAGTGTGTCAGGGCAGACTCAATTAATAGAGTCTGCTGAAGCATGGTAATTACTGCACTGCATCAAACTCCAGCTTCATGTATATCATCATCCCTGTGCTGAAAAATGGAGGTGAGGGTTCTTTAACTAAAGGTCATTTGATGAGCTTTAAAGCACCCTTGTTGCCATTTTTCAGCATGGGGATGCTGACACGCATGACACTCTGGACACTTTAATTAGAGAGGCTCCTAAAATATTTCTATTGCAGCTTCAACACTCCAAATGCTGTGTTGAAGCCATGGCATAAGTATAAAGGAGTCCCTACCCCATTACTAAGAAGACAAAGACACTCAGAGCTTTATCTCACTACTACTCTCTCTTTCCCCATCTCTTCTCTTGCCATCTTCCTTCCCTTCCCCGCTCTCACTGTGTGGACATGACCTTTTCTGTTTGTTCCCAAGTTAGCACCTCTCGTGTCCTGCACCCCACTCTGCTCACTCCCTGTTGCTCCACACACACACACACACACACACACAAAGACACAAGCATGCTCATTCACTTACCTTCATCACATAGTCAAGATTAAAGGGCACCCATATGTTGCTGCAGTGAGGACCCAGGCTGAGGCAGCAGAAGTCAGGTAACTGCTAGGTGAAGGCAGAGAAAGGGGCAAGGGACTGGCCCTGAGCTCAGCTGGGAAGTGCCTGCTGAGATGGATAAGCAGCGGTATGTCCAGTCTTGCGACTATGAGCCTGTAACAGGATACACTGTGCCTGAAGTCGGTAGCCCTGAGTAGTGGCCCCAGAGTTACTAGGCACATCTAGAGTAACAGTGGACAGGGCTTATGCAGACCCCTGCCCAGACAAAGGTCAAGTACCCAAGAGCCTGTTCCACTAGTAAGACTGTCCCTACTCAGCATATTCCATGAAGTCATGACAAGCAAGACTACTGATGGTGACAAGCCTCAGGTTGGAGTGAGACAACTGATGGAAGGAGGCTCAGAGGGTTAGCACACAGGCCTCTGTGCTTAGGCAAGCATACAATAAGAGACAAACAAATTCAATGGCAGCATATTAACAATCAAAAATGCATCAGTCTAAATCTGACTTCCAGCAATATGCATGCTTCTTTAAGCACTTATTGTTAGTTGTATTCTGCTCCCACAAATCAGCATACATTAATTTCGGCTGAGCAGAGTTAGGTCATTGCCTGAGCATGTTTTTTCTGTCCTACCTTATTTTTCTATGGTAACATTTAGCTATGGAACTAAAAGGATTTCTGTGAATACTGCAACTAAAAATCAAACATGAACAAAGAAGGAATATAAATTTATTCAGCCCCTCCACAGTCAGTGTCTCAAACAACACAACAAAAAATGACACCTCATGGGGTGTGTTTAGACAAGACACTACTGTGCAGTAGCAACAAGCTACGGTGATATAGCTCATCACTACAGTGACACAGCATCAGCAGGCATGAACCATAATGCTAATGCTACTGCTCACTAGCACTGGAAATGACCCATGTGGTGCTGGGGATTGCGCAGTAACAACGGTTACTGTGCAGTCATTTAGTACATGCTTAAGCAGTAACAACTGTGCAGTCCAGTGCACGTGTAGACATGCCCAGTGTCTACCCTTATCTTTTTTGAGTGAATTTGTGCATCAGTGCTTACTGTACTATAAAAAAAAATAATGCTTGCTGTGTTTCTTGCAATAAGTAACTTCAGGTGGCACTGTGCTTCCTTCCTGGTTATTTCTAAATTTGGTTGCGTATATTACATTTTTATTGTCAAAATGCCAAAAATGCCTCTTATGTATCTGCAGGAATTTGATTCCTGGTCAAAAATCCTGTGGATGCACATATTGTTTACATACACAAACTGAGTGTGTGCACTGGAAACAAGAGGAGATGGGCCTTCTTGTGAGATATGTGGATGTATCAAATCTGCACAGGTGAATCTAAAGTACTTTCTGTTGAATCTGCTAATGCCAGTGTATTTATAGTTTTACATCATGTTTAGGAAATAATCTGTGCCTGCCAGCACTCTTTCCCATACTCATGACTGAAGTAATTTATTTATGAACACCTTGGACAGACACAAAACCTCCCATTTTTTATCCCCAATATCTGAGTTGCTTGGGTACTTATCCTAGAAGCTGGAGGAAGTTTGAACCTGGGTGTCTTTGACTTTCTAGCACAGTGCTCTAGTCACGACCCCCCAAGTCAGGGATTATCCAGCTTCAAATCTGTCCCTCCTTTTGAAGGTGAGGCACTGCCCCTTGCACCTAATATGGCTATTAGAAAAATATATAGAGGGAAGGGGAAAGTTTCTGCCTCACTTGGAACAACATCCCCACTAAGACCCCTCCCTTCCAAGCTAATAGCAAACTCACTGAGCTACTCACTTTGTAGTATACTTTCTTACTGTTGGTCCAACATATGTCCCACTTTTTTGCATCTTGTGGTTTCCCGTGAGGTACTAAAATGGCCTAAATTACTGAATCTGGATATTTAGGGCTCCTATACATATGCAGGGAGCTGTTCCAACACACTGTAATTCCAGAACAACCGAGCAGACTTGATCAATCAGGCTCAGATTAATCAAGTAGAACTGAATGTGCTCCAGCAGCCTCCAGTGTCACATGTATCTGTGTTCCCACACTGAATAATAGTAGTCGGACATTTTAAACTAAAGCTTGTTCAAAAAGCTTTAGTTCAATGTGCCCTACTGCAATTTTTCAGCTCAGGGACGTTGATATGTGTAATGGTCTGAGTGCTTTAAATTAGTGTGGCTCTTGGAGCTGCGCTAACTAAAGTGCCTCCTGAAGCAGGTGTATAAATTCCCTTAGATGACTAGGAAGGGCCTAGTATATCATCCTTAATTTCTAAACATTAATTGCTATATTTTGATTCCTTCCAAAAAGGAAAGAGCTATGGATTTTTTTCCCTAGCTACTATTTTGAGTTACCTAGCCATTTCTCTCATTCTTGGACTATTGTTTTCAGGCATCTAGTGCCTACATACTTATGTTTTACTCCACTTCCAGGAATATTGTCCTCAGGTTATGGGTATAAGAGTAGACTGCAACTCATGCACGCATAGGTAAAGACAGCTTTGCCATTTCTATCAAGTCATGGGAACACATGGATTTACAGAGTCCAAAAATAACTTCTAAGAAGGAAAATAGATAATTAAGAGACAGCTGGTGTTTATATGCAACAATGACAAAAAGGGTCTTCACTTTCTACTTTTCTTGGGTTTCACTGACTAAAATTTTAAGCGTGTTACCATGATTGAATTCATGTTTTCCATTTACCTATTATTTGCAGGATGAGCAATACTGATCATTTCAACTCTCTAAAGCAGTTATTCTCAACCAGGTACCATGGCAACCTGGGATGCCTTGAGATCCTTTCAAGAATGTAGCACAGTGTTAGCATTGTTAGGTGTGCAAACATGATTCACAAGAGTTTTCACATAATTCACAAGAGTTTTCATGTAGAAATCTATAGTGTAAAAAAAAAATTCTGATTTGTTGTGGTTTTTCTGAGCACTTTGCAACAAAAACAATTGCTCTAATGTTTTTCTGTAGTCAAGAAACAAGTGAAAACCAAGGGATGGCATTTCCCAAGGGTGCCCCAAGTCTATTGAAGAGTACTTCAGATCTATTGAGGGGTGCCTTGAGTCTAATAAGGTTGAAATCCACTGGTCTAGAGCTTTGGCAAAGCTCAGGTTATAACAATAATTCAAACGCCTTTCCCTAATCACTGTAGATGAAGATTAGTGGACAGAACCACTACCTTACCTTTTTCCTTTAATAACCCACATCTACCCTTTTCTGCTTCTCTGGTAATTCCACCATATATTTTGAATGAAGTCCTAGATTAAATTGGTTCGATGTTACAATGGTTATGCTATGCTTGTATCACTGTGGAAGACAGGCAGATATAATCATTTGTTTTAATGTTCTAACAGCTTTTACCAGTATCATTTGAGACTAATATACTTGTAAAACCTATCTAAATCAATGTATCACTACCATATCTCCACAGTTCATTGGGGTAAAATACTAGGGGCCAGGGAAACTGAAATGTGTACGTATACACATGATTTAAAAAAAAAAATCGTAATACTGTTTTTTTTCCGTGAATGACACTTTAAACTTAGTGGCTGATTACTGTCTAGTTTCCTAAGAAATGAAGTTAATCATGAAGAACTAATGTAGTAGCACTGTAGATGTAATATACACCTCCACTAGTATTACACTGTACAATTAATTAATGTTTTGTTTTAATGCTATCAATGTTCTGTGATCCTATTTATGATCCTTTTCTTTCACTGAATTTAAATCATGAACTCTGTTTGAGTTGCCACCTTACTGACAGGTGTTTTTTTTTAATTTTAAATATGGCAGTTAAAGAAAAACAAAAACATGTTTATTACTTAAATTGGTATGTTGCTAGAGGCCCATTTGTTCAAACCACTATGACTTGGCCCAGATTTTTAAAGATATATGAAATCTGAAGGAACTGAATAACTTAATATTTTAAAAAATCTGGGCCCAGATAATTGCATGTAGTCTCTGTCATGACAAGTATAACCTAAAGAAATATTGGTGGAGAGTGGGATGGTGAATTATATGATCTAAATTATCTGATTTTCATAAACATTTATTTATTTTGAATTACATTTTTCTTGTTATAACCCTGTGTCCCTCAAAATCCAGCCAAAATAAGGTAGTTCATATAGCCCATTTGTCTGTAGCTAGGGAAGAGAGGAAGAACGTAGCAAAATACATCAGACTCTTATCTCTGTTTTGTAGAATTGATGGGGAAAATGTGATGTAGAGTAGCTTCCCATTGAAGGATACTGCATTTCTAAGATGCTTTTGTGTAAACCAGTTGAAATCAGTTGTTGTCATGTTCTGATCATTTAGGAACGCAAACAGCAAAATGGAACAAATCTGTTAGGCTCCTTGCCTTTAAGAAAGAAATAAAATGAATTGAGGAAAATACTTTAAATGAAAGAACAGAGAAGTTAAAGGTCCTACTAAAATTTAAATTCTCTGCAAGTCCATAGAAGGTTTAAACAGAATTTGTCTATATATGTGCAAGTAATGGATTCCAGCAAAAGTTAGCTACAAAGTTAACTTGATTTATCATAACAGTTGGTTCTGTCACACTTCACGTTAATGTTTTCAGTTTTCTCTTCAAGATAACCTAACTGGAAGATATTACAGATAAACAGGTAACTGCATTTCATATTCATTTTCACTTGGCGTTGTATATCTGACAAAGTAATGTCCACTGCATAATGAACCTGAGTTTAAGCAGTCCACAGTGAAATACAGGTTGACATATAAACACAAATCCTCATTATTCCCAGTGTAAAAGGTTGCTGAAAAACATACTACAAAGATTATAGTCAGCCTCTCATCCATATTTAGTACAGTTAATTACAGGATGGCCCCAGTGAAGTATGGGCCATACTTTCACATACTGTTCAACAATTAAATGGAAAAAAGAATGTCTGCTTTCTACAAACTGATATCAGGGTTGCAGGGGATTTGCCAATGTATTCAGACACAAATAAGACAACTATTACCTGAATATGATTTGAGATCCAGGGATTTCCACACTGTGAATATCTAAGATGCTAACTAGTGCTTAGAAACATTTCTCCTATTTCACAGCCCTGAAGCCTATGTTTAGCGGTTTCCAAAATCCTAGATCTGCCCATACAGTCTAGTCTTCAGCAGCAGCTGCATTTTCATCTTTAGGCAAAGCAGCTAAGAGCTGCTGATGTTTCAGTGGTGAAAGAATTAAAACTGTAGCTTTTTCCTGACCAAGAATGGTAGGGTGAATAAGCTGAAGATTTAATTCTATTCCTTCTCTATGTGGCCATAACTCCAGAAAAGTCTATTGTTTTCCTTCAATTTCACTTCCCCAAAAATTCTGTTAATCTAATTTGGATGTGAGGTATGCAAGAAAATGTGTTACTTCTCAATAGAATTTTTTATTGTTAAAATCATATCTTCCAGATTTTTCATTTTTTCTGGAAGGCTAAGGAATGATTTGCTAACCGGAAGCTCTGCAGAAAAGGACTTGTGGATTACAGTGGGTAATAAGCTGAATATGAGCCAAAAGTGTACCCTTGTTGTAAACTAAGCTAATGGCATACTGGTCTGCATCAGTAGGAGTGTTTGCCGGCTTGGCCATATCTGCATTATTGTATTCAGTTTTGGACCCTCCTCACAGAAGGGAGGTAGACAAATTGGAGACACTGCAGCAGTGGGCAATGAAAATGGTAGAGGGCTAAGGCATATGACTTATAAAGAGAGGATGAGGGAACGGTGCTTGTTTAATCTGGAGAAGAGAAGGCTGAGGGGATTTAATAGCAGCCTTCAATGATCTGAAAGGTGGGTCCAAAGAGAATGGAGCTAAACTGTTCTCAGTGGTGGCAGCTGACAGAACAAGGAATAATTGTTTCAAGTTGCAGCAAGAGAAGTTTATATTAGATATTAGGAAAGACTTTCTCACTAGGATAGTAGTAAAGCACTGGAATGGGCTACCCAGAGAGGTAGCAGAATCCTTAACCTCCTTAGAGGTTTTTAAGACACAGGTGGACAATCCCTTGGCTGGTATGATATAACTCAGGGTGATTTTGCTTTGGCCAGGAGGCTGGACAAGATGACTTCCTGAGGTCTCTTCCAACCCCAGCCTGCATCGCTGCATGGTATTATTCTGTTCCAAGCGCAAGACTTTGCACTTGTCCTTATTGAACCTCAAGAGATTTCTTTTGGTCCAATCTTCCAATTTGTAGAAGTCTTTTACAATCCTAGTGTTAACCCCCAGAGTATCTATTATACCCCACAGCTTGGTGTCTTCTGCAAACTTATTGAAGGTGCACTCCATCCTATCATCCAGGTTGCTGATGAAGATATTGAAGAAAACAGGTCCTAGGACTGACCCCTGGGACACTCCACTTGACACTGGCTGCCAACTAGACATTGAGCCATTGATTACTACCCTCTGAGCCTGATGATCCGGAGAATTTTCTATCCTTCTTCCTTAATTTCCCTGGGAGAATGTTGTGGGAGACTCTATCAACAGCTTTGCTAAAATCAAGGTATACAACATCCACCAGTCTCCCCACATCCACAGAGCCAGTATTTTGTCATAGAAGGCAATACAGTTGGTCAAGCAGGAGTCGCCTTTGGTGGATCCATGCTGACTGTTCCTAATCAATTTCTTCTCTTCTAAGTTCTTAGAAATTGATTCCTTGAGTACCTGCTCCATGATTTTTCCAGGAACTGGGTGGAAGCTGACTGGTCTATAGTTCCCTGAATCCTCCTCCTTCCCTTTCTTAAAGATAGGCACTATATTTGCCTTTTTCCAATCATCCAGGACCTTTTCCAATCATCATGAGTTTTCAAAGATAATTGCCAGCATCTCCGCAATCACATCAGCCAACTCCCTCAACACCCTATGTCTGGGCCCATAGACTTTATACATGTCCAGCTTTTTTAAATAGTCCCTAACATGTTCTTTTGCCACAGTTGGATCTGGACTTCTTTTGCCTCCCCAAACTGTGCTGCCAGGTGCAATAGTCTGGGAGCTGATCTTATCTGTGAAGACTGAGGTGAAAAAATCATTGAATACTTCAGCTTTTTCCACATCATCTGTCATTGTTTTCGCCCCCATTCAGTAAGTGACCCACACTTTTTCTAATCTTCTTCTTGTTTCTGACACACTTGTAGAAACACTTCTTGTTACCATTCATGTCCCTTGCTAGCTGCAGCTCCAGTTGTGCCTTGGCCTTCCTGATTGCATCCCTGTATGCCCAAGCAATACTTGTATACTCCTCCCTAGTCATTTGTCCAAGTTTCCACATCTTTTAAGCTTCCTTTTTGTGTTTAACTCACTGAAGAGTTCCCTGCTAATCCAAGCTGGTCTTCGGCCATACTTGCTAGTTTTCCTGTGCATTTGGGATGGCTCTTTCTTGCACCCTAAGTAAGATTTTTTAAAGTACAGTCAGTTCTCCTGAACTCTTTTCCCCTCAGATGGACTTCCTATGGGTTCCTGCCCATCAGTTCCTGTGTGAGTCAAAGTCTGATTTTCTGAAATCCTGGGTCCTTACTCTGCTGCTCTCTTTTTTTACTTTCCTCAGGATCCTGACCTAAATTATCTCTTGGTCATTGCTGCCCAAGTTGCCAGCCACTCCTATATTCCCTGTTTATGAGCAGCATTTCAAGAAGAAACTTGGACTAAGAAATTGTCCCCAACACTCCCTGAAAACTTGAATTTTCTGTACAGTGCTGTATTGGCTTCCCAGTAGATGTCAGGGTGATTGAAGTCTCCTGTAAGAACCAAGGCCTATGATTGAGAAACTTGTGCTAGCTGTTTGAAGAAAGCCTCATCCTCCTGGTCTGGTGCTCTAGAGCAGATGCCCACCACAACATCACCATTGGTGCTCTTCCCTCTGACCATAACCCAGAGACTTTAAGCAGGCCTATCTTCAGTTTCATAGTGGAGCTCTGAGCAGCCATACATCTCTTTGACATAAAAAAACAAGTCCTCCTCCTCTTTTCCCTTGCCTGTCTTACCTGAACAGTTTATACCCGTCCATGATGGTGCTCAAGTCATGCGAGCTATTCCAACAAGTCTCTGTTATTCCAATCACAGCATAGTTCCATGACTGTGAAAGGACTTCCCAACCTTCCTGTTTCCCAAGCTCCATGCATTCATACAGACACCTGAGGTAACTAGCTGATTGCCCTACTATCTCAGGAAGAATGAAAGGACCTCTCCTGTTGCCCTCTCACTGTTTTGGTGACTTGTGCTCTGAAATACAGGGGGTTTTGTCTCCTAACACATCTAGCAGCGTCTTTTTTTTCTGCAAAAACAATCACTAAAGTGATCATATTAGAAATGCTGTACCTATAATTTCAGAAGCACAAAATAATCTGTATTTTAACTAGTCTTTTTCCTCAGACTAATTTATCACCAGACCGAAATGCTATTTGCATTTTGGTGGCTGGTGCAAAAGCATGCTTTGTAACCTATATTTTCCACTCAACAGATATTTTTGAGACTTGCAAAACATTGCTATCATGAATTAGTCTTTGATCAAAAACTTCTCTGACTGCTGTGCATTAGACCTGTAGCATGTGAGTAAGTTATAAGCCATCTTTGTTTCAGAGAGACTGCCCACATTTTGATGTTGGCAATGGCGACCTGTATTAATGCCAATAATGTTAAGAACTGCTAATTTCTTTGTCATTAAAAATGATTCCTCATGCATTTTAAAGGATGTCAGACCTTCATTTTTGATTGAATAAGCTGCTTCTCTAAACCCATCGAGTTAGAAAGGCAGAGTGTCTATACACGTTCCCTAGGGGCAGGGGACATTTTAATTAGAGAGGCTTTTGGGAGCTGCTCGAATTAAAAATGTGCAGCATCTCATGTATTGTGTCCTACATTTCAAAATGGCCATAATATTGCTTTAACAAAAGTTCATTTGACGAGCTTCAGTTAAAGTGCCCCACCACCATTTTGAGATGTGGGACACTGAATATAAGAGATGTCGCACCAAACTGGAGCATTCTAATTAGACCAATCCAACAGACTTGATTAATTGATTATTGGATTACTAAAGTCTGCTCTAATGCAAACATTCTAATCAGAAAGCATTGTATAGTTGTACAGTGTTTAGGTACCCACAATGCAGGTCCCAATTTTAACTAATGAAACTTCTGAAACTCTTGTAAATTTGGGAAAATATAAATGACTGAGTCAAAAATGTTTTATTCTTTCTTTCACGAACTGTACTTTCCAGACAAGTTTCCACCTCCCCCGTCCCCCCATACTATGCAATTACATTAGTATTTGTTGGAGCTGCTTTCTGTATTTTTCACACTAAATTCCTCAGGAGCTCATAATATTTTTCTTGTTAGAGTCCAGCATTCTGTAAATTTGGGAGCTTTCAACAGTTTCCAGGCTGTGAACTGCTTTTCTCTACTGGGGCTTTCTTCCCCTTATGTCAGGATCCCTTTCTCATTTAATAATATTGGAATAACAAGATGGTTGTATTACAGCACTTCTAACACATGCTCTCAACTACCAGGCTGAGAATCTGTCTGTCTTTTGGAAGTGGAATTCTGACTGCCACCTCTTCCACATCTTTTTAAACATAAAAGGCTAAAAATATATTCATGTAACTTATTGCTCATGCTTTGTTTTAGTACCTGGATGGCTGTTCTACTTGCAAAGGCATTTTCATTGTATTTGAGAGTCTCAGTACAATTAAGCTGACTCATTAGTAGCCTTCTTCTGGTTTCTAGTGGGCAATAATACCCATCATTAAACTACCGTCCGTGAATAATATGGGGTTTACCCAAATGCAAGACAGCTTGACTTTAAGATGACTGTCCAAAAGATTATATATATGAAAATTAAAAATGTGTTATAATTTTCTATGGATAGAATCTAATTATTGGAAGGTTCTCTTAAATTTGTCCCCTTAACATCTGTGGTAGGGAAAGCAGTGGTAGGAGCCAGGGATCAGACCCTTGCTCCTTGCCCTCCCTTTTCCCAATTTTCCTCCTGTCTACCTTCTTGCTATGTCTCTCTCCTGCCCCTTGCCCCTCCATGCCTGTGCCAGCTGCTGTGCCATGTGCACCCCACTGCCCTGCTGGCTGCTTCCCCACCTCTTCTACTTCTATGCCTGTGCCTCCTTGGTTCCCTCCCCTCCTACTTGCTTGTGCCTGCCCTCCTTCTACTTGCTCTTTCCTCCAATCAAAAGGCAAGAAAACAAAAGAAAAACCCTATTCCCTTTTTGAAGGACAGGATCTTGAGCCTGCTAGGCAGGAATGATGGGCCTTGTGTTACTTCAGATTTTTATACAAGATTTACAGGAACATAAAACAGGTACTATTAAAATATCAATACTCTTCATCTTGGGTATCTGCAGTACTTATAATATCTTCTTTTACTAGGCATAGGAAATTCAGGGTATTATAATCATTTCAGACTTGGAGGCATTTCATTTTAAGGATACCTATCATATTTGAAATCATGGCTTTCTCATTTTAGAGATATCAATAATTATATACTATAAATATTTATTGTATTAAATAATATATAAAAATATTATATGTATATGCTTATAACATGTCTAGTAGCCTTGATGAGCAGTTAAGATATTTTTCGATGCTTCTCAGTTAAGCTAATTTTCTAGACTTCTCAGCATTAGACCACACACTGGCTGGTTATAGTCTTAACAGTTTTAAATCCAAGCTCTAATATTACATGCTCTTTATAATGTGCTTAACATGTATGAGTAAAGGAAATATATACAAGTATTTTCTGGATCAGGAACTTAGTTAAGACAATGATATAGGAAAATATATATGGAGTAGTTGTAGGTTTGATAAATCTATATTAAAATTTACTTTACCCACTGTGCTATATTTGGAGATGTTGGGAATAAGCTTTCCTCACATTGATCTTTTTTCCAGCATCTCAGTTTGCTTAAATTGTGTCACTGAACTATTAGTGAGCGTATTACTTGGCTGAAAGGAACAGGTTTTTTATAGGCCTTTTTTAACAATACATTTTGTAATTTTCAGTTGTGTGGACAGAGCTCTGTTTACTGCAGGCAAAGGTGTAGAGACAGAGGGTGCTTCCATTTTTGGTAGGTTAACCATCATATTTACAGTGGCAAGAAGTCTCTATTACAAATGTATTACTTAGACCTAGGAATTCCTTCTTTTAGGGTACGCTGGACCTTTAGCACCCAGCTAAAAAACAGACATTGACAAAAGACCAGATACTGCACAATACAATAAACAGGAACATAAAATGGAATAAAATTAATAAAATAAGAGACATTATATAAAATAAACCAGAGATTATATAAATGATCAGTGCTTAAAAACAGGCCAAATCAAACAAAGTAAACATTTTTCCAACTTACAGAGTGGCCTTTGGCTGCTGTCTAGGAAGTCTCAGTCAAACTCCTCTCCACAAACTCCAGTTTCACAGACCTCTCAAATTTGTATGGGTTCTTTACACCCAGTGGCCAGGGTGACTCTTTTAAATGTTTATTTTATAAATCTTAATGAACTGTAATGTTGTAATTGTATCTTTCATACAGAGAGTGCGTACTTACTCAAAGAAGTATCTTGGTTTAATGAATAAGCCCTGATTTTTTTCCATTCATTATTAGAATCAATTAAATGCAGCACTAAATAAATATTCATGGCAGTGTTTTTTTCTTGAGATAGGGTCAGTTAGACAGTCAGTTTATTTATTTATAGGTTCTCTCCCTAAGGACCAGGAAATTGACATTTTGACCAATTGCCTTTATCAGGATGCTTGTGCATCTTTTATCCTGATAAAAGTTATTGGTCAAAATGTCAATTAACTTGCTAATGGATGATACCTGTAAGTACAATAACTCTATTCTTAAATGAATAATATATGCTCTGTATCAACAGTAGGCTATTATAAATATTTTAATTCTCTAATTGCATTACATTTCAGATTATATATTACTAAATTATTTTATTTTAGGTTCCCAGAATGTGAATAGTGAGTTTATAAATATAATAAAATAAGGATTTATCATTATCTTGTTTTGTAGAAAGTTGGAACAATTAGTTATTTTTTTCTAAAAAAGAAAAGAAAAGAAAAGAAAAAGAGATTTGTAAAAGTAGCCACCAAGATTCCTATTTCAGAAGTTTCAACTAAGGAAAGGGGTATACTGTACAGGAATTCAACATAGAGATACTTGAGCTCCTTCTACACAAGCTAGCTTAAGTACCAGAAGTTGATCTGTGGTATCATGACAGTCATTCTGGGCTAATTTTCTATGCTTCTCTCAGTATAAGACCAAACGCTAGCTGGATATAGTCCAGAATCTGAGAAAGATCATTTAAAACTATTTAAAGTATCTCTAAACTGCACTGCAGCGTGCTGTGTACGCATACCCGTAGACTTGCTGTGACATTTTCAAGACAGTTTTGTGGCATGTTGAAAACTCTTGATCACTTGATCCTTTAAGGCTCTGCTATTTTAAAATAGCTGCTTAATTTGCATGTATATCTCAGCTCCACGAAACTGAAAGGAAAATCTTTTGTTTTTCCTTATTACTTGACAATTTTTTTTCAGACATACACTTTTCAATAGCAAATTGTCCCAAGTAACTACAAGGAGCAGAACTTACTAGAATTGATCTTATCAAATAAACTTTACTTATGTTTTGTTGATAAACCTGTTTTGTAGCTGCTAAGGACTGTAATAGGGAATTCTTTACCTTCTTGGTCCTCTGTTAAAGTTAAACTGACAGCAAAAAATGCAGGAAAAACTAGGAGATACAGTCAAAGGATAAATTATTACAAATCATGACAACAGTTTGTGCCACTGTATTTGAATAAATATTGCAATGAGAGAACATTCTTTTATGACCTCGTTGGAAGACTGGAGGAAAGCCACTCAGACAGGAGGGAGATCTAACTCTGGGGCTCTGTAATGAAGATCATTGAGCTTCATGAAGATCATTGAGTTGAGCCCAAAAGTGAGTGGGTGGCTTATGGAAAACCCAGTTACTTAGAGAGAAGCAGGTTGACTGATCAGAAGAGACAGTTTCTGGCTGGAAACAGACATCTAGATGG